GCAGTCCTTGGAAAGGAATATTATACATCCCCTAAGCTGTTGCTGGACAGGAGGAGAGAAAAGAAAGAAATCATATGAGGAGAGGGTAGAGTTTTGAGTAGGCGAAACGTTCATTTTTGCATTTACAAGCTGATGATAAAATGCGATGCAATAAAGACGGACTGCTGTATCAATCAATGTTAATATAATTGCCACAATTTATATAAGCCATATTGAATAACGCATGAGCAGAAAAAGAAGTAGGTCAGAATATGCTTATATATAAACATTTTCTAAAATATGAAATGCTCATCAACATCGATAGGCTGATAAAGCATGGATTGTAGTTAAGTGACACTATGTAGCTACTTCGCTTCCAGTGATAGCTTTCAGAATGCCCAATGGGAACATGAGACATCCGTTACTGTATCCTCTTTTTCAGAGTCACTGAAGAACCATCTAGACCAGGGGTAGTCAACCTTGGCTCTTTTATGACTCGTGGACTTCAACTCCCAGAATTCCTGAGCCAGCCAAGCTGGCTCAGGAATTCTGGGAATTGAAGTCCACGAGTCATAAAAGAGCCAAGGTTGCCTACCCCTGATCTAGACTTAAATAAAAGCAAAGTAAATGTTCGTTTTTGCTCATCTAGATACTGCTTTTTAATATTTGTACAATATTTATTTCTGCCTCTTCAATAGGTCAAGTAGACATGATTGTGGCTGGAGCTGGCACAGGAGGCACCATCACTGGTATTGCCCGAAAAATCAAGGAGAAATGCCCTGGATGCTCAGTAAGTCCCAAACAAGAACATGGGGTTCGCTGCTTAAGTTACTGATAGGGGTGTCTGTCTATATGTGTATACATATGTATACAGTATATGCCTTTATAGATTACCTTATAGGCCAGTGGTTCTCAACCTTTTTAATGCCGCGACCCCAACCGGTCGTAAGTCGAGGACTAAACCGGTCGTACGTCGATGACTAAACCGGTCGTAAGTCAAGGACTACCCAACCGGTCGTAAGTCAAGGACTTTCCCTGCCCGGGAGCGCCGCGCATGCGTGGTTCCGCCCCCTGCACCGGCCGAGGCGTAGCTGGCAAGCGGCAGAGACGGAGCAGGCTGACCACCAGCTGGCCCAGCCCAAGGGAGGTAAGGCACCCACCGGGAAAGGGGAAAAAAATGGCGCACAAAAAAATGGCGCACAAAAAAAATGGCGGACAGCCTTGCTTGGCGACCCCCGTGAAATGGTCGATCGACCCCAAATGGGGTCCCGACCCACAGGTTGAGAACCACTGTTATAGGTGCTGTTACAAACTCTGCAAATGGCAGGTGATTCAAAAAAGGCATTTCCTTCTCCGTGCAAACTGTACAAGAGACAAATAAAATGTCTTATCCTTCTGATTACAAAAACGATTTACAGTCATTCCTCTAATGATTGAAATCATGTTTATTGAGATGGCTGCTTTTTATAAACCTGATTGCTCTTGAGTTCATTTGCTACATTTAGCCATGAGAGTGTGTCTGCAGAGTGTTTGGACTGCTGGTCTGCTCAGTTCATTCCTATGATTACACTTATTCTTCAAGCACCAAAAGACATACGATGACATGTTATCACATGGCAGGACCTAATAGCTTTACAGTCATATTAAATGAGCAAACAGACATTCCTGGTGTATCTTACATATTATTGTGTGTTTTTTGGGGTAATTTCTTTCTTTTCTTTGTCTCAACGTTAGCTGCTGGCATAGCACTATCCAATATGAACTTTCCCATTTATTGAGAGCAATACAGGTGGTTATGTTCACTTTTTGAGAAATAAAATCAGTGCAGAGAATGGGCCCAAATATGAAACAGAGTGTGGTGTCGCCCTAATACAGGGGTAGGCAACCTTGGCTCTTTTGTGACTCGTGGACTTCAACTCCCAGAATTCCTGAGCCAGCATGGCTCAGCTTGGAAACCTCTCCCTTTCCCCTCAGCATGGCTGGCTCAGGAATTCTGGGAGTTGAAGTCCACGAGTCATAAAAGAGCCAAGGTTGCCTACCCCTGCCCTAGGCAGTCCTCTCTTATATATAAGGTTTTGGCTGCTGGTGGTGTATTGAAAAGAGCGGAGCGAGTTAATAACTTTCTGTATAAACTACTGTTCTCACATCCCAGGTAAACATTTAGAAAGGAAAAAATGAACTAGAGTTCCATAAAGGGTGGGGAAAATAAGCACCCAGGAAAACTTTTGATAAAAAAAGTCTTGGGAAGAATAAGGAGCTCCTTCCCCCCTGTGTGTATATACTAAAATTCACTATTTCCCAGGATAATTTTCTGTTTTGGAAGCAAACAACCCAAGGAGTTCTACTTTCCTTACACATCCTTGCATGAAATATCTGATTTGCCCTCTAAGATGATGAGTACACATATGCATTCTGCTTTAATTTCTTTTCTTAAATTAAGAAATTAAGAAAAGCTATGCTTAATTTTGTGGGAAATTAAATTTGACCCAAGTAGGAAATTATTTCTTAGAACAATTATTTAAGAATTGTCCCGGATCATGGAATTATGCAAATATCAAATTAATAGGGGTAATTGCTTTTTATTTATTTATGGTTCCAGATTGAAACATGGAATACCTATACAATACTTAAATTTTAAATGGAAGTACCAAAAGTTCCATTATTCAACTTAGACATTTCCCAAGGCATAACTGCAGAGGCACCCCAGTGATGCAGTAATGTTGATTTACTGTAGTCATGTCTGTGATTTTATTTAATTGTCTTTTTAATATCTGTATATTTAAAATCAAAATACTATTTCAATAACAAATTGCTCTTTAGATTGTAGGTGTTGACCCTGAAGGATCTATCCTAGCGGAGCCTGAAAAATTAAACGTAACTGACAAGACAATTTATGAAGTGGAAGGTATTGGATACGATTTCATACCCACAGTTCTGGATAGATCGGTAAGGAAGGTTTCATATACATATCCTTTAGTGCTGTGATTTTCAACCTTGGCAACTTTAAGATATATGGACTTCAGTTCCCAGAATTCCACACCTCTTAAAATTGTCACAATTGAGAAACATTGCTTTAGTGCAGTGATGGCGAACCTTTTAGAGACCGAGTGCCCAAACTGCAACCCAAAACCCACTTATTTATCGCCGGGTGCCAGGTGGGTGTGGCCCACTGCGTGGGCGTGGCTGTGGTAGTCATGGCAGAGTGGGTGGGTGTGGCCAAAGTGGGTGTGATCATCTCGATGGTGCTCGTGGGGAGGGATGCCTGTAGGGGCCAGGCAGGGTTGGGGGAGATCCAGGGGGTCTCTGGCAGGTGGGGCGGTGGGCAGTAGGCTAGTCCTGCGGGGATGCCATTGTCACAGGGCAAGGTGAGGCAGGGGCCAGGGCGGCTGCTGCCTGGCACCATCAGCCCCTGCACACAGAGGCCAGCAAGCGCATGGTGCTGGGATGCATCCGGCCATGTGGGACCTCGGCAAGTTAGCGGGCAGCTGGTTGAAGAGGGATGGCTACCATCTCCGGGGCATGGTGTGCGTGCCCACAGAGAGGGCTCTGAGTGCCGCCTCTGGCACACGTGCCATAGGTTCGCCACCACTGCTTTAGTGTGACCCTCATTGAAATCCCTTTGGTTCTTAAGTGCAGGACTAATCTTTTTTTCCTTCTTATTTCCCTCATCCAAACTTAGCCTTTAATTTTTGTGACAATTTTGATATTCAAGTTTTATTTAGATTCCTGAACTTTTAACAGATCTGATCCCACTTTTGTCAATTTCTGAATTTTGGAAGACAAATTATTGTTACAGGAATTTTCCAGTATTTATAACAGGACTTATTCATAGCAAAATACGAGTCAGTTGCTCTTTCTTAAGAGCAGTCTGTTTGCTTTATATAGCTTGTGTAGTTTGGAAGACTTCCTGGAAGTGCATAGCACAGAAAAAAAAAAGGAAGATTCAGAAAGATGTTGTGCAATGCTTAAATGGGAATAGTTTGAAGATTCATGAGGTGCCTTATCTGACACAACGGAAAAACCCTGGACTACTGTATTTTAACTGTACTGTAATTTAATTGTATTATGGGATCCAGAGAATGTTTTTTCCCCCTGAAATTTGTATCAGTGGATCCAAGAATCCACTGCTAAATCCATTCCTCCTCTCCATGCATTTTCTGGCATATCTAATCAATTCTGGTCATCCCAAATGAGAATGAAGCAATAGCAACCAGCAGGTTTTCAACGGAATATCTTGCCTCCTGCGGTTGTGAATGCTCCATCACTGGACGTTTTAAAAAATAGACTGGACAACCACTTGACCAGGATGGTATAAGATCTCCTGCCTTGAGCAAGGGGTTGGACTAGAAGACCTCTGAGGTCCCTTCCAGCCGTATGATTCTGTGTTCTAGTACCAATGGATGACTCGTATGAAACAACAGGTCTAGAATAATGTTTGTGTGCCCTTTCTTCCTTCTAGGTGGTAGACAAATGGTATAAGTGTAACGATGAGGAATCTTTTGCCTTCTCACGCATGCTAATCAGAGAAGAAGGATTGCTTTGTGGTAAGCATAGTATAATCTGTAGTCTAGCCAATAATAGAATTGTGGCAACATTTTTACTTTTCATATCAGTTGGGCATTCTACTTCCATACCAGACAGTTTTTATGAAAAATGCAAACGGTGAATGTGGAACTCATGGATTTTACTGACGTCTTTACTTCTGCAAATATGCATCATGTGGTTTGAAGCAGTTCTTATAAGCACTAGTCGATCTCTTGAGTCAGGAGGATTTAGTCAAAAATAATATTAGTCAGGGGTCCCCAACCCCCGGTCCGTGGACCAGTATCAGGCCGCGGCATGCCAGCAACCGGTCCGCACAAAGTAGGAAAGCCCCATCCACAGGATGCAGGCAGCACACAAAACCACACCCCCTACGGTCTGCGGAAAAACCTCTCTCCACGTAACTGATCCCTGGTGCCCAAAAGGTTGGGAACCTCTGATATTAGTGACTTCAGATATTAGAAGATAATATTGCTTCACTAAGGAGGTCAGTTCAATAAAAGCCTCCTCTTTCTCTTCCCTAAGCCTTCCACTTTCAAAAGCCTTTAGAAGTATCATAGTTACACTAGCCCTTTGTAATCTTCCACCGCCTCATGCAGCAAGTTACTCGTGGAATACCCTTGACAATTGCCAGTAGTGACTGTTCCCTTTTTTATCTTTGCCCCGTTGCCTATAATTCGCAAACTCCTGTATACTTATGTCCTCATCTTGAGTACTTCATATAGCTCTTCTGGCTAATTACTAATTAAGAGGCTTTGGCCTCACACTCTTTCTTTTTTCCTTCCTTTTCATGCTGTGCATTCCAATATACTTGAATTCTGATAATCTCCTGTGTCTTTTGACAGGTGGCAGCTCAGGTAGTGCCATGTCTGTTGCCGTCAAGGCAGCCCAAGAGCTAAAAGAAGGCCAGCGTTGTGTTGTCATCCTTCCCGACTCTGTCAGGAACTACATGTAGGTACCCTGCTTTGTATGCCTCTTCCTTCCCTACACTGATTGAGATACGGCTGTCCAGCCATCCAAAGTCAAAGAGGAAATTGAAGGGCTACCTAAATTTATATTTAGGGCAAGCCCTTGAGGCAAGGACATCCATGAGGGGGGATCAAACTTTTAAGATGGCAACTGTGACTGACTGATCAAAGTCCTGTTCCTTTTTTTCCATGCATCACACATTAAAAATGACTAGGTTTTGATTGCACAGTCACAGATATTCTCTTGACTTTTTTGATCCCCCCCTGTGAGAGCTGTGGGTTTGGCATGGCAGGTGAGACAGCTTTCTGTGCCTTCTAACGTGGCTGTTGCTTCTTCTTCATTTAGAGCAGGGGTAGTCAACCTTGGCTCTTTTATGACTCGTGGACTTCAACTCCCAGAATTCCTGAGCCAGTCCACGAGTTGAAGCCCACGAGTCATAAAAGAGCCAAGGTTGACTACCCCTGATTTAGAGGTTGTTCTTGCTTCATTCCATTTTGCAGTCTAAAATCTAGCTTTTCAACATCTCAGCCTAGATGCTTTTGACTACCACAGAAAAATAGTAGTAAAGGAAACAGTCCTGTAAAAAGCTAGTTTGACCTATGAGAGAACCAACCGATAAAGCTTTTCTGCTAGCTACGTGTTTGAAATAAAGATACGTTAATCATTTTCTATGACATTGTATCTCACATTATCTTTATTGCTTGTTTACATTTAAAGCACCTAAACTGATGTTTGTGACTTACTTTCTTGGTGGTTTTTAGGTCTAAGTTTTTAAGTGACAAATGGATGATCCAAAGAGGATTCATGAAAGAAGAGGATAATGATATTAAGAAGCCTTGGTGAGATGATAAGATCTGTCATAGTTTAATAAAATGTGTCACGTTTCCGTAAGTTTTAAACCTAATTGAACCATCTTGTTGGCTTTTTTTTTCTTGCTTTCTCTGAGTACACGGGTATAGTTTTTCTCTTCTCTCAGCCTGGGTATGTGCATACCAGTTGGGTCTGAGAAAGTAGATTCTAACAAAGTGTTAATTTTTAAGCCAGAAGGCGCCTTTTAAAAATATTGATAGTTAATCCTTTCAAACAAGATGTAAAATCAAAAAGAGTCATTCATTCGTGGATTCTTAATGACTGGTTCAGAGGTATACGTGTCTCCATTCCAGTTGCTAGAGGGCATGAGCAAGAAAACGCCGTTGTGAAAGTTCTTGATTGTAAACTTCCCCTAAGCATCTAAATGGCAACTGTGGGAACCAGATGGGTCTTTGGTCTGAACCAGGATTCAACTTACATTTGATGGATGCCAGGAAACATGCTTTCTTTGCCATGGTGCCCTCCTTGTGGTACATCCTTTCCTCCCAAATTAGATTAGCTCCATTCGTTTTGATATTCTGAAAGGCCCTCAAGTCCTGGTTATGTTGTCAGGTCTGGAGCTCACGGGATGCTGGAGATTTGCCGAGATGGCTTCTGTTGGGGAGATGGCCATTTTTATTCCTCTCGTTACCTTCAGTTTGTATCTTTGGTTTTTGTATTTGTTAATATGTAATTTTTACACTTTGTAGCTGCAGCTTTTTGCGTTGTCGTTTTATTTTATTGTTGTGCACCACCCCTAGTCACTTTTGGTGAGGTGGCAGCATTTATATTTATTCCTTATTTAGAGAAGGAGATGGGCTTTGCTAAATGTAAGCATTGTGCAATACAAGCCTCTATAGCAGGGGTCCTCAACCTCGGCAACTTTAAGACTTGTGGACTTCAACTCCCAGCTGGCTGGGGAATTCTGGGAGTTGAAGTCCACAAGTCTTAAAGTTGCCGAGGTTGAGGACCCCTGCTCTATAGGTAAGGGCACACCTGAGAATGTAGAAAACCTTTTTAAAAATATCATTTTTATTTCTCTGTATTTCTTTCTTTAATGTCAGCAACAATAAGCTCTCAATACAAACTCTGCAATTTCCTGTTTGGCTCACAGTAGCATTCCTCTCAGTGTTAATTGCTCTCAGTGTTTTGGTGATGGTGTACACAGAATGCAAATAGAGGGGGTGCCTGAAACATACATTCAGTCTAAATTACCTTTCCTGCAAGTCAGGCAGGGATTAGCTGCTGTATTTACTCTTGAATACACTATTCTGCGTAATAATCTTTTCAGAAAAGCTTAAGTATGCAAAATACAATACAGTTTGTTCTTCAGTGCCTGAACCGCTAGGATATTTGTTCATTTTTCTAGGTGGTGGCACGTGAAAGTTCAGGAATTATGCCTGTCTGCCCCTCTAACTGTACTGCCAAGCGTTACCTGTGAAAAGACTATTGAAATACTCAGAGAGAAGGGATTTGACCAAGTACCAGTAGTGGATGAATCTGGGTATGTATAGTCTTCGATGGTTTCTTCCTTTGTTTGTTCCAAATAAATCCACTTTCTGAAGAGTGTAATGTTGGGAAATTATTGGTCTTATTTGGTTTTCTCGAGCAAAATCATGTCAGTCATGTGGGTTTGGTTGTACAAATTGCTGCGATGTGGTTGAATGGCAAAAGTATACAAAATAAATGTAGATGTTGCTCCTTCGGCTCTCTGCTGATTGAACTTGCATTCAGTTAGCAGAACGTAAGAGCCAGACATGGGCACTTGGCACACATGAAATGGGCTAAATCAGCTGAAGCAACAGATCCTCCAACCCTGTTTGTGTGTCAAGTCACAAGGACTGCATGATAGAATGGCACTTCCTTAAGTTTAAGGGGGGGGGGGAAGTGGAACTAAGGTTGCTGCTTTTAAAATCTGCTTTTAAAGTTACGACATGGTTTATTATGTTTTGAGAGAATTGTCATCACCTAAAAATGGCCCATAAAGTAATTAACCGAGTTCTGATTGCATAGCCTGCTAAATAAAAAGCCAATGGGATGGCCAAGCTGACCCAGGACAAATTGTGATCTGAGCAGGGAAGTCGTTCCCAAAGTTCACCCCAGTTTAATAAACAAGATTTGTTTAGTAAGTCTCTCATATAATCTGTGCTATTAGCAGCTCAGATGTAAAAGGTCCTGTATTGTCTGACCCAGACAGTATAAAATGTAACACATGGTAAACAGTGAGTAAGATGTAACAAAGAAAGAAATATCATTGTACTCTCACCTAGTCTGGCAGGTCTTTTCTATTATCAAAAGCTAACTTTTCCAAAGTTTCGGGAGCTATGTAGACACTAGTTAGTGATAAACTTTTGTTTAAAACAGGGGTGCCCAACCTTGGCAACTTTAAGACTTGTGGACTTAACTCCCAGAATTCCTCGGCCAAGTTTGTTTGATACAGTTTTATCCTGAAAAGATTCAAAATACACATTTTTAGAGGGCAGCAACTTAAGTGGAACAGGTCAAGGTGGGGAAGGGTCAACCTCTAACTAATTGGGAATTTCAGAATTCCCTCCTGCCCTCTGAAAAATGGGGGTGGGTTGGTAAAAGAAAAATAACAGTGTGAGATCCGTGTACTTGTCACCTGAATTTGTGGAAATGCTGATGTAAAGCTTTTAAATGAAAAAAAAAATGTTGATACAACTCATTCACTGCTTTGCTTGGGGTATCCTTTTTTAGACTGATTCTGGGGATGGTTACTCTTGGCAATATGCTCTCTTCGGTGCTTGCTGGTAAAGTACAGCCCTTGGATAAAGTCAGCAAAGTAATCTACAAGCAGTTCAAAACGGTATCGTGCCTTCTGTACATGTCTTTGTTTCTATTCCCTCCCCCCACCTTCACACTATGTCGAAAGAGTTTCTGAAAATCTCACATATTGATCAGTCACAGGAAAATTCAAATAGGAGGCTTACATCCTTCAAGTATTCGGGATTAAAAACACTCTGTTTACTGGTACTGTAGTGGTACCAGTAAACACAGTGTTGAGTATTCAGCTTCTAAAGCAGAGGTAGTCAACCTTGTCTCTTTTATGACTCGTGGACTTCAACTCCCAGGATTCCTGAGCCAGCTGTGCTGGCTCAGGAATTCTGGGAGTTGAAGTCCACGAGTCATAAAAGAGCCAAGGTTGACTACCCCTGTTCTAAAGCATGATGAAAGCAATGTTTCAGTGACTGGAATACCCTTTCTGTACACCAAAAATACCTTTAAATTGAGCTTTTAAAATTATTAACAACAATACTGTGGAGAACATATAGAAGCAAAATGCATGTAAATTTAAGGGGCAGAAACAGGGTAGTAGCAATCATGAAGTTTTTGTTGTATGCAATAAATTGAAATCACATGAAAATAAAACCAAAATCCTCCTTGGAAAAACATGTCTCTCTGTACTTTTTAACATGCATTGTTGAGAACTTCCATGTGTAGTCTCATCCTGCCTTCACTATGAAGCTATAACACTGATGTATTTTATTGCAGGAATGATAGCTGGTTGATGCTATAAATGGTTATTTTGGAGGTCTACGCTGTGTCTCAAGTGGACAAAATGCTTAAATGTTAACCGCATAGGGTCAAGAATATTTATTAGTGTATATCCTGATTTGTTTTTATTTTTTCCTGATTTGCACAGAAAAACACTCCATAAACATATAGTACATGGGATTTTTTAAGCACAGCTCATGAACCCCATACTCTTTTTTAAAAAGTATTGTTGGAAAACCACTAAGTGGAATGAGGATCAGAGTTCTTATCTAAATGTGAATGGTGTGTAAGAAATAATAGCAATGTCTTTTAAAATCATGCAACTTTCTCTTACAGATTCACTTGCAGGACAACTTAGGAAAGCTCTCTCATATTTTGGAAATAGATCATTTTGCTCTGGTGGTACATGAACAGATTCAGTGTGAGTATAAGGTTATTTGTATGCTGTTCCAAGTCAGTTTCTGCCTTTTTAACTAGCATGTTTAGGTCTATAAATTACTGATTTTCTAGTAAATTATAATGAGTTAACGTTTTCTATTGAATAAATTCAAAGAAACCCATAGCCATGAAATAATGCTACTTCCAGCTTCTCCAATTGAGTAGATTGGGCTTTTCTAAATCTTGGGTTGGACTGAAAAGAGTAGTGTATAAACTGTAATATGTATATTAATAGTGGTACAACCAAAACTTTAACTGAAGGGTGTTTTTTAACCTTAGCAGTGGTACTGATTCTGGTCCTGCCCTCATTACAATACAACGTCAGCCTGTAATTTTTAGAGAAAATGGATTGTGCACTGATTTCTACCTCAGTCTTCCATAACAG